TGTTTCACCATCGCATAGCACTTCCGAAAGTTGAATTTCACAAGTGTCATCGTAGACCATCCACAGGCACTCACATCTTCCAAGCTTCCAGCAACCGTCGAACATCCGCAACAGCATTTGGGCTCTGGCTGTCCATTGAACTCGGGAGACCGGATCAGGTCTATGATGATGACCATCCGCCCGATGAGCTGGTGACCATCCTCCGCGTGCTGAGGACGGACGACAGTCGGCTCAAGCGGGCCTACCGGATTACGACCTCCTCTCGGTCCTCCGCGCCGGATGCCACACCTGGCTCGGGCCTCAAGTGTCGGCCCCTAAACCGTGACGTTCAACAAAGAACGGAGAGCCCCACAAAGCACGGATTTGATGTGCAGAAAGTTTATGACGTTCACAGCCGAGCAGATCGAGATCTGGCTCTTGCGCAGAGAGTCTCATCTTCAAGCTGCAGGTGGCTGTTGCTTAAGAGCTCAGCGACATCGTTAGGGGCGATGAGGCCGAGGTCGCAGTTCGGGGCCGATCTGGCTGCGAAGCTTATGAGGAGGCGGAAGGTCTGTTCAGCTGGGTCACAGCACCAAATGTTGATTCGGGCTGCGGGCTGCCACCTTACACCCCTCCCCCCCATCATGCCTCAAACTGCACGACGTCTTGAATGCCCGCGTTCCCCAGATGCCGAGCAGATCAGACCCCTTCGCTTCCACCATTATGATTCTTGGCATGCCCGCCCTGCGAATCCTCATGGAGTCCTGACGTCCAAAACACTGTGCGCTGCTTCCCTGCCCCATTGCCTATCCAAATCCCTCACACCCCGCAGCACATCTCGCGAAGTCAAGCCTGGTCCCATCGCAGAAGGCTCCGGCGACACGGAAGAGCTAGCATAAGCCTCGAAACGAAAGAGCTAGCGAAGGCCTCGCTATCCGGTCCGTTAAGTTAAATCATGTCTTGGACTTCGAGATTTCGGGAGACAAGCTGCAGAATACCACGCGTGGAATTGCAGCGTTAACTACACAACATGAACAGGATACAAACAAGCTGCATGCCAGCATTAGCCTGTCGCCGGTGTTGCGAGCAGCATGCATCGTTATGGCTAATTGTATTCGGTGCTGTCGGCCCTCCCTCAGACTCGGATCCAGAACTGCAAGATCGAACTGTACACGGGCGTGTGTGACACGATGTAGCAACGACCTCAGCCAACCAAGCCTACAACGAAGAAGCTCTTGAAGCCCTCCAAACCAAAAAGGCCAATGCCAGCAACCCGTTCTGCCCAGCCTCTGCCTGCTCGGTGCCTGTCACAGAGGGCTGGGGAGTGTATGTGGGATGCGTCGGGTCAAGGGGTAATTTCACGGGGTGTGGTTGGGGTGAGGGGGGGCGGGGGGTGGCGAAGGCCAAAGCCAAGGTTGCAAGGCTTCCACAGCGACAAAAGTGTCTCATGTTAACAGCCCCGCCCTGCCCTGCAGAAGTTGAAACAAGCAAGCTAGTAGACATGTCCTGGCTAACTGAGCTTGTGGCTGAATACAAAGTTTCGCTACATTAAGGCTGACACACACACACACACACGCGGGCACACACACATGCAAACACACAACTACGCACACATGTGTATACGATGAAAGCAACCCTGCATCCACTAGTTTGCCCAAGGAACAAAGTAGCCACCAACCAAATCAGTGATTCAATTGCAGGGTCAGGGAACAGTTGCCCATGAGCCGCCAAGGGCTCGAATTAGAACTATATATATTACCTGTATCTCTCGTTAAATCTATGTAAAAGGTGTATAGACCTACTTGTCGGGTATCTTGAGGAACTAAACCTTAACCTTTGGAAATATGTTGGGAATATACAGGGAATATCGTACTCTACTGCTAGGTGTGTGTATATCTATATGTATCTGTATACACACCTGTTCGCACAGCTAATGCATAAACCCACCTCTCTCTTTCCTCGCTAACTTATACCGGGTGCCGAGATGTCTCCAACTTATAACTGCTCCATGTACAGAAAGTGCAAACCAGCATCTGGTTGAGCAGAACATGACAGAGCAGACGCGCATATACATGAACGGAAACGAAATCTGTCACGTTTGTATCCTTGGGAAAGGAATTTATGACAATTGATTATACCAGCGAACATCCCTAACTTTTGCCAGCTGTTTGTAGAATGCCCGTTTTGTGTGGCTAGAACACGAGGAGCCTTTGTTGCACAACTTTAACACCTGCTTTTGCTTGCTTGGTGCCTCCAAAGCCGCCGCCCGGCGAATCCTGTCAAGCCGCTTGGAAAGCTTCACTCCGGCCCCCCCTCCCATACTGGAGACCGGATCCAGTGAACCACATGGAAGTTGCACACAAACCTCAACTATAAACCTTCATCCCGGGTTGCCAGCCAACAGCATGTGGCCACAACCGATACTGGTGGTGTGCAGACCAGAGCGACGACTTCGGCGGCACACCTCTTGGACAGCTGCTTCGGCCGCCGCCTGCTGCCTTCCGTACGATGCTGGCGGTCGCAGGACGAGCCCCTATACGTGTCTCGATCGAACCATGTATTCCAGTAGACTGAATATACTGCTGGTGCTGGCAGATGCTACGGGTCTCTGCAGCACCGGGAGGGGGAATGCAACTCTATATCACCCGAAGAAGCGTACACGCTGGTAGGACTGTCCCAACACTGGCGCCATGTTGGCACATGAAACTGAACTTGTCGAAACCACACAACTCCCTGGATGCGTCTCGGCCAAGTTTCTACACCAGTACGACATCAATCGACTTTAAGCCTCGGAAACACAGGTCGCGAGCTCAAGCTTTCTGCCTGGCCAGCGCCGCCAGCTTTCGATGCCTTCCAAGACAGCTATGCCCTCAGGCACTGCCAGGTGCCATGGCGATTGTGCATCGCCCGGGAAAGCCATTCTTTTGTAAGCATTACACGAGATGATCCGCTCTGCTTCCAGTCAAGAAAGAGCTTCGCTTCGCATGCCCAGCACTTGAGCTTGACTGAAGGAACGACGCAGGGCTGGGCATACGGGCCTTGCCCGACGACCACCCCGGCGGGTCGGCTTTCGCCGGCCGCTGTCAGGGCTCGCGGTACTGGGGCCCTGCATTCAAGCTCGGGGCTTCGATCTTGGCTCGCATCTGGAAATGTCGGCACCTTCTCTACAAGTGGCTGCAACGAAGCATGCTGGCTTTGGGGACGTTCCCCCGCAAAAAAGTTATGTCGCCCTCACCGCCACGTGACGGAATCATATGGCACAAGGCTAGTGCTCCAATGGGCTTCTGTCTGGACTCTCTTGTCGAAGCAGCTCAGTGGCACATTTAACTCAAAACCTTGCCTCAAATCATTCCAGAACCAAAGTCACCAGACAGCATGGGAGCATTACATCGTGGCTCAGTCTTGGCTTTCAGCGCCCACCTCCGCTTCGCTGTCATCTTCCCCGCTTTCGCCGTCCACCTGCATGTCCGCCCAGACAGTTAAACAGCATTGAATAGCTTCTCTGGCAGGTTCAAGTTTACAAAAGAAACATGGGGCAATATGGGGCAGCTATACATCATCGGATTGCTGACTGTCTCTGTCCATGGCTATAGGCGCCAGATGTTGGCCGAAGAAAACATCAAGGCACGGCGAATACATGATTCACAATCAACTGCTATGAAAAACTCACGAAACCGTTATGACAGGTCGCGGGATGCGTGAACCCAGTCTGCAGATCAGAAACTCTACATGTAAAACACTGTGAAACACCCACACAAAACAAACGAAGCACTTCCAAAACCTCCCGTTTTAGTAACAGTACACCTTGCACCTGCGTCCTTGTAAAGTAGGAACCTGATTACGACACCCAGGTTCGGTTCAGGGCACTTGGTAGTTATCCTATAGACTACTCGAGGCTTTTAGAACCGAGCGTTGCTTCATCAGATTCCGAGCACATGCCCAGACAAGCAGAGCCCTTGACTGAGGCCATAGCTGGACGATTTCCGGGGCCTGAGAAGCGGCTGAAGAGACGGCTATTAAGTTAGAAAGACCGCTCCGGCAGCAACCGCTGAGCTCTCCACGGTTTTCGTCGTGGGGGGTACATACACACATGCATCCATCCCTCCGTCCATCCGTCCGTCCGTCCATCCATCCAGCCATCCATAAAAACAATCATTACATACATACATGTATATAAAGGATATACAATAGCAGCCAATAGCATCATACTCAAACCAATCGCACATACCGCTGCGCATGCCTGCGGTTGCAGACCTGCTTGCTTGCATGCCTTTACAACTTTACAAACACACTATAATATATATATATATATATACACACACATACATACATATGTATATGTAGACACACATTTGTGTGAGGGTTTTATTTGGGGGGCTATGCAAACACACGATTCCGCATGAATGTCCCTTCCGTCCCCGACCCCCCGCCTCTCCCTGTCGTTCCTCCTGTCTCGTTTGAGTTATTTCTCTACCCTTCTTCATGTCCACAAGTAAACGGCCGGCGGGCGGCCAGGCAGGCAGGCAGGTAGGCAGGCAGGTTGCCTACCTGCGAGATTTTTGCCCCAAAGACACACCTCACGCAGCTAGTGTGATGTAGTTCCGTGCAGGGTCTTTGTGCATGGGTTGAGACGCGACAGCCCGCCGCATGCCGAAGCAAGCCAGCAATTCATAAAGCCGTTTCGAACATTTATCTGGGCACCAAAAAACTTAACCGCTTTGCCTTTGCACCTTAACTTTGGGCCATTTTATCATAGTACACGTTGTCAAGGGAGACAGCACTGTTGCGGCCCCTGTTTTCTTGCGCCGCTGCTGCAAACGGATCTTTGACCCGTGAGACGGCCTGCATCGTTGATTGATGAAGCTGAGGAGAAGCAGGCCCCTTTTTGGCTCCCTGTTATTACTATTATTATTACTACTATTGTTATTATTGTTATTATTATTGTTATTATTATTATTATTAAGGCCTATCTCAGGGCCTGTCAAAGCTGAGGCCTGGAGGTGCCTGCTGGACACGGCTGCTCAGGTGTAAAGCAGTGGGACGAGGTTCTCCCAAGATAGGAGATCAGCTGCGGCTGCCTGCTGCCAGTGCCTGAATGGAGCAAAATCAATAAAATCAATGCCGTGTTTATCCCGGTTGCAGTATGCAGCAGTATCATATTGTTACCCTATCCGCCAGCTACAAGCTCCCTAGCACTGCTATCCCATTGCGCACCAACCCCGAGCCGTGGCATATCTCTTGCTGTCTCGGCAATCTATACCGCCTTACTTGCCCAGCTACATTATGAAAGACTCGACAGTGAACAGTGGCAGCATGGTCACATGCTTCTGTCTAAAAGCTGAGGGTATCCGGGACCAAGTTGCTGCTGTGCCAGGGCTGACTCTCTGTTCCTCGGGCCTGCGGATCAGCGTGAAGAAGATTCTGAGGACGCGTATGGTCAGGATGAGAATTTTGAGAATGGGAAGGAGGATGGTGACGAGTGCGAGGACGACGACGAACGAAGATGACATTGGCGACTGCGATTATGATGCCGCCGGAAACGATGATGGAGACGTCATCATCAGCAGCAACAAAGAACCGCAAGCCCGCAAGCGCCCACAACATCACAATCATCGCGATGACTTTTCTTCACCACATGCCAAAGCTATCTACCACCTTCAGGATCTTGACTGTCAACATCATCAACATCATCATCGTCATTGCCAGCATACCCATTCTCATCGTAATCATGCCATGAATGATGCCATGTTTCCAGCAGGACTCAATCGTGTCTCATACTTTCCCTTTGCAAACTTGCAATGTCGTGCTTGTTCGTGGGTGCTGGACTTTTCACCACGGCTTAATTTACCGGAACGAACCTTTGAAGCAATCAATACCTGCGGCCGAAGATACTTAAACATAAACCTTCCGGACCTACAAGTCAAGGGTTGAAGCTCAAGTTGTAAGCGTCATTCAGCGTTGCAGAAAAGCCCAAGGCCGTCGCGAAGCTTTCGCAATGCCGGCAAGAGATCTGCAGGCAAGGCAGCCGCCGCCTCCTAGCGTCTCCAACATGCTTTCGAACTGGCTTATTGGCTTTAGGTTTGCGCAACTGCGTGCAGCAAAGGATATAAAGCCCATCACGCCCACGCAATTGCTTTTTCCCAGCATTGAGAGAAATGCGATTAATGTTTCTCAGCACGGACACTTAACGCAACCATCATAAACCTGAAGATGCAAAAGTACCTTTACATAATTCTATATTATGCCTAACTAGGAAATTTGTGGCTATGTCGGCGGGTAAATCTGTATGTATGCATGAAGTAGATGCATGTCTGATTTCGGATCGTGAATGCACGCCCGCACTACTTTTTAGTTCATCTCGTCCCCTGTGTCTATACATCGCCTTGAACTTGTACTGTAATTGTCCGGCTTGGAAGTCTCTCGAGTTGTGCTTAAGCAGTTCTTGCCCGTCCCTCTCCCTTGCCCACTTGCCCTCTGCAGGTGTGGACATGGTACACACCGTGGTGTCGTCCCATGCCATCTAAATTGCTATAAATACTATAAATCGCCTCTCGCATGCTTTACCGATTAATTCGCAGTGTCTGGCTTATCCCAGTCTCCCAGCCACCTGCCTCAACAGCTCAACCTTCAATTGGCTTCGGTCCCTCTTTCGGGCCCCTCCTTGAGGTCGACAAGGCCGCTAAGGTGCGCTGTATTCGGGTGACCTCCAAACTTGGACCTGTTGCTCAACCGTACATTTTGTCCCTGCTCTCAGCCTTTGCGCGTGCGTGCCGCATCTGGCAAAACAGTTTGCGCAAAGTGACAACCTTTTGTGCTCGGCTGTTCCTTCTAAGCCCAGGCTCTCCAGAGGCGAGACTTCGCCAAGATTGCAGCGAGTCCGGAATGGCTCAGCGGCCGTTGATTTAAAAGAAAACTTGTCTCAGCCTGTGGACCAGGGATTGAACGGAAAGAAGCGGACCGAGAGGGATCCGCGACTCATCAAAGAAAACCAGAAGTGCCAGAGGTTGAGTCGGTAAAGAGCGTCCGGGGCGGCTGCAAAGTCCCTGCTCCCGGTTGCCGTCCAAACCTTGGAAACTCTACGTGCTCTGGTGGCCACCGGGTCCAGCGCCACAGCAAAAACGTTTTGTTGTTTGATCCTATGACTGCCCGATCGGTCAATTCACACATTGTTGATTTAAAAGAAAACTTGTCTCAGCCTGTGGACCAGGGATTGAACGGAAAGAAGCGGACCGAGAGGGATCCGCGACTCATCAAAGAAAACCAGAAGTGCCAGAGGTTGAGTCGGTAAAGAGCGTCCGGGGCGGCTGCAAAGTCCCTGCTCCCGGTTGCCGTCCAAACCTTGGAAACTCTACGTGCTCTGGTGGCCACCGGGTCCAGCGCCACCGCAAAAACGTTTTGTTGTTTGATCCTATGCTGGGTGGGCGTTTCGGCTGGGCTGAAAAATCTTTTCTGCAAGCGATTTCTGTCTGTCATTCAGACCCTAATGCAAAGAGGCAATCACCACAGCAAAAATCCGCAGTTTTGCGGCAGTCACAGCATGCAAATCCCGCAACTTTGCAGATGTTTCGAGACCTGTCATTCAAACCCTAATGCAAAGAGGCAACGACTGCAGTTTCATGAGCACGCATGGAGGGGGCATATTGGATCCCAATAAGCACCCTCCATGCGTGCTCAGCAAATCCGCAGTTTTGCGGGGCAGTCGAATCCCGCAGTTTAGCGGATTTCTCGAGACCAAGTCCACTCTCAGAGTCGAATTGTACCTGGCAGACGGTCAGACAAAGTCGAGTTGAAGGACTCAGGTTCAAGGAAAGGCTTCGGCCCGGGAACACAATGAAACAGCCCTGAAGCCTCTGTCCCAGCCTCGAGCGAGCAAAGACCAAGCCCGACTCGGGAATGCGTGGTCCTCTGCCACACACTGCACATATGAGTCTATGCCCACGCAAGGCTCCGGCCAGATATCCAGCCCCCATTGTCGTCGGCCTAGGACCAGCAGGCACACACTTACAGCATCCAAGCTTGCTGACAAGGACAAACTCAAAGAGAACAGCATCCGCACACACATTTTTCTGTCTGCCTTTGTGCTTGGCAGAATCAAGGAGAGACAGAGACTTTTCCCCAGCCTCTGCTGCGAAATCTAGACCCTTTGCAAGGCCAGAATAGCTGCCAGAAGAGCAGCTCCAACACATGGGACGTTCATTGCATTCCCGGCAAGCATCACTGCAGAAGACCTAGACAGGTGAGACCTGGCCAAGACCGGGCTGCCGCAACTGGCCTGATCCTTGTTCGTGGCCAAAACATGGGATTGAAACATTTCGTCCGCGGTCATGAACCGCTTCTTGGCCTGCATCGGAAATAGCGGGACACTCCAGAATTCAGCACATGATTGCATGACCCCGGCTCAAGACCAAGTGCCTTGCTGAAGAGTTTCGCGCTGTTGGTGGTCAAGGTCGGCAGGTGGGAGCTGTTGAGCGTGCCACGACGAAATGCTCCCCTCTGTCCCAAGTCAACAATGTCCCATGGCTTTTCGTCGTAAGTCCTTAAGACTGAGGCCTCAGACTGAGTCAGGGAGGATGCATTGGCATTGCGATCGCAGAAATAGTCTCCCGCTCCCAGACAAGGCCTTGCCGCCAGGCATGCCACCATGTCTGCAAAGCACGGCACGTCCTGAGACCAGCAGACCTTCTCCGTGTTGTAAGCGATAACATAGAGGCGAGCCCTGGCACAGCCCAGTCCAAAGGTCCTTGGGTCAACCCGAACACTCTGCTGCTTCCATGACTTCGGAAGACGTAGCTGCTTCAGGTCGTACTCACACACGTTCTCGAAGAGGTATGCATCCAAGACCTGGTAGCACTGGCGGAAATACCTACGATGCGTCTTCATGACCTTGTCCTTAGACTTCTTCCGCAGACCCATCACGGAGTAGCTCGTGCACGGCGCCCCGCCCACCGACACAAGGAGACCTCGAATCCGTTGATTTATTAATTACTTAATGGAGAACAGACGGACAAGACTAACCCCACCGTCACATACATACATACACATGACATGGACCTGGGATTGCTCACCAAACGAAGTCTAATAATGATATGTTGAAGCTTGTTGTGGAAAGTTCGTTTGGTGACATTCCTCGAACATATACAGCTATTGGCGAGTTGAGACCCACAGACCCTGTCAAACATGTCCAGCTATTGGCGAGTTGAGACCCACAGACCCTTTCAAACATGTACAGCTATTGGCGAGTTGAAACCCACAGACCCTTTCAAACATGTACAGCTATTGGCGAGTTGAGACCCACAGACCCTGTCAAACCTGTACAGCTATTGGCGAGTTGAGACCCACAGACCCTTTCAAACATATACAACCATTGGCGAGTTGAGACCTACAGACCCTTTCAAACACATACAACCGTTGGCGAGTTGTTGAGGCCCACAGAGACCCATAAAATAAAAATGTTCGAAAGGTCCACCCAGCTGCACCATCTTGCAAACTGAAGACATGTTGTGTTTGAATTATGAGCCGAGCTCCAGATGGTAAAACCCTGACACTGTAAAACTAAATGTCGCGTTGAGAACCTTTGCCATCACCTTCCAAACCTCAACCCCTTCTTCATCGCCTCTTGCCTATGACACGGCTAAGATGATGGGAGGAGACCGAAGCTGCAGACTATTTTAATGCTGATGGTGGACGTGCTACAGATCCCCAGCACTAAGGCTCTCAACTCAGACAGGTAGCCGGACCCGCGCTGCGATGGCCAAGTCGGGCACTCCATTTTGTGACGCAAGCAGTGGTTGGTCTTTGCGGCCATGTCAAACTCAAAGATGTCCTGGGCGAGGCAAGACCCGTATGTGCCCAGCAAGACCTTTTGGGCGCCGAGGTCCGACTCGACCGCCCATCGGAGCCTCACCGCTTGTCCAGCACCGGCCGCTTTTTGGATGGTAAGCAATGCCTGCTGGAAGACAGAGGCGGAAAGTATGAAAGGCACGTGACGGATGTCCACTTTCACTCTGCTACCCTAATGACTGGTCAAATAGAGACACAACAGTCCGACAAGCGACCGTCTCCGCACAGCCGACCCCAGTGAAAGTGCTGATAACATCCCAGTTCCAGCTCTGCAACCTCTTCCGGACCAGACCCCGGCCCATGTTTTTCTCCAGCCGATCCAGAAAGACCGTGGCCCAGTCATAACTAGCAGAGATAGTTGTAGGGCCTTCGGGCCCATCCTTGGCTGCCTTCGGGATGTCAGTCTTAGGCCAACAAGCCTGCTTCTCCCGAGGAGCCTGCTTGAAGGTCTTCATCGCGACCTTCATGCATGTTTTCGTACTGGTCCTGCACATCGCAACTGTGCGAGGCAAACTGACCTAAATCGAAACTTCAATCACAAGACTCAACACACTCGCCAATATTGTCGTCCTCGCCTTGGCCTTTTTGCTGGCCTGGCACGTTTCGATATCTTCGCCATGGCTGCTTTAGCAGGCTAGACCTATAGACAGTCCGTCCTTGAGTAACGGCCGCCAGTCCGCATCGCAGGGAATGTTTGAATAATTTGTAGAGCACACATAGTCATGGTTTCACAACGAAGTTCGGCAAAAGTGTTTTAATGCTGGCACACTCCTTCCTGTCTTCCCTGGCATGAATCCTCCGGGCCGCACCTATGACGATGCTCGGCGTCACCATAGATGCGGCCCAGAGGGCACCGACAGGGGCCGTCTTGGTGGCTCTGCCACCTGCAGCTCTAGCAGTGACGCTCGCTTGACCTGGAAACGGGCCTGGAGCCCGCGCAGCCCACACAGTGTGCAGCTCCAAGCCCGTTTCCAGGTCAAGGAGTGCTCTCCTGAAACAACAGAGTTTGCAAAGCAACAGCGACTGCGAAAGCATGCAGGCGTGCTTTTAAATTTCATTGGCAATGAGGGACGCCATCAGCACAATGTCTGTGCAACTGCTCGCCAACGACAAAGTTTTCCGAATGAAAGACCGCTCTCCCAGCATCAACTTCCACTACTCTAAATGAGACACAGCTGCACACACCTTGTCGTAA